TGTGGAGGTGAGGTCTGCAGTCCCCAGATAGCTGGGCATTGCAGTTTTAAGTTGTAGCCTCACTTACAGATATGTGAGTCATCATCTCCCCAGCGAAAGCAAAAGCTGGATGGAGAGGGAATGAGGTCACCCAGGAGCATCATGTAGGATGAGGGAGGAGGGAGAGACCCCATCAGGGTCTGGGAGGGCTGGGAGAAAGCTAGGAATTGGAAAGGGAGAGGAGGGCTTCAAAGCAGAACTCAAAAGTAGTCTTGGAGAGCTTACTTGTGCCATGGCTTGTGGTAGACTCTCTGGAGATACAGTTGAGAATAAGATATACTCTGACCTGCCCTCATGGAGTTTATAATTGAAATGGGTGTGTGGGGGGGAATAACTTCCACAAAATGAGGGAGAAGAAGCCAGATTGTAAAAATAGAGGTGTAATATGATCTCACTCATATGTGGAATCTAAAAACAATGGTGATCTCTTAGAAATTGAAAGTAGAATCATAGTTACCAGAACTGGGGGAGAGGGGGAAACACAAGGAGGGAGGCTGGTTAATGGGTATGGTGGTACAGTTAGAGAAGAAGAATAAGTTCTGGAGTTCTTTGGCACAATGGTGGGGGGAGTACAGTTAACAATAGTGTGCCTTATATTTCACCATAAAGAAATAATAAAATCTAAGGTGATGACAGGCTAATTACTCTGATTTAGTCATTACTCAATGTATGTATGTATCAAAACATCACACTGTACTCCATAAATATGTATAATTACTAGGTTGATCAATAAATAAAAATAAAAAAATAGGGGTGTAAGCAACAGAACTCACCTCTAGCTTACAGTAGCAGTGATGTGTTGGAAGAACATGCAGTGACTCACAAAATCCAGAGGGAAGTGGAAACATCACATCAGAAAGACCAGGGACTGAGGACATGGTAGGGACCTGGTAACAGAGTCTCTTCCAGGACCCTGTGTCTAGTTGGAAGAGCTCCACTTTCAGTCTTGAGGACACATTTTTAGTGTCTAGGACACAACTGGCATTCTGTTGTGTGCCCACTCTGCAGCCCACCGAGATGTTGTCCAAAGCATGGGTGGAATTTCCTCAAAGAAAACTCTGGGGGTTGTAAGCAGATGTAGGGAAAATGGTTTCTAAGCAAGTTAAAACAACAGATGGGAGATGAATCCCAACAGCCAGCCCTTGACTGTGCTTCCAGTGTTTTTCTGCAGAGCCATAGAAAAGAAAGGAGGCAGAAGCTGAAGGCAGTGATGGGGTGAGAGGAGTTCAGCTGTTTGCTAGCAACTGGAAACCAGCAAGCAAAATTTAATCTGTGACATAAGGAGAAAAGACAGAGCTCGATGCACAGTTTAATATCCCCTCCCCTGGCGCACACAGAGCAGGGAGAGTTAAATGCAGTGTCCTTGCACACTGTCATCAACAGGAGACATAAACACCAAGGGTGTCCTTTGCAGGGCAGAGAAAGTTTGGTGTGCACAGGAGCCTTTGACCTGTGGCATGTCTGTGTGAATGCGTACAGTCTGGTTCTGACATTTTAACATTTGTCACTGATTTGGCAAACCATATGCCAATTAGTGGCTAGAATGGTGGCACTTCACTTTAGGGCCCAGCCCGGGGGAAAGATGTGCAGCTCTGGAAATCATTGAATCATCAGAATTTTCTAAATTGGTAACAAAGAGAGATGTTAATGGATGCTCCTGGCTAATGTTTGTAGCTCCTTAGTTAAATAAGCTTGGGAAACGCTGTGTCTACAATTCTCCAGAAATAGAAGAATATCATGAAGAGTCTGCTTAGTGGCCTGTCAAGTCCACAACTTCTTCATGCTAGGAAGATCTTTGTATCAACAAAAAGGACTTTGGAAAGTCCTTAAACAAGATTTAAGTTTAACCTACTGTCATCATAAACCCCTAATTATAATGTGTACCAAGGTTGTCATATAGTATGGTCAGATTTCTAAGAAAATCCAGTCAAAGAATTCCCTTCAGGTACACTTTGATGGTAATGACGTCCTATTTTAAACAAAGGCTCAATATTCATAAATACTATTACAACTTTCAGCCCATGAGGGCCTATGTAGACCCTGGGCCAAGAAGGAGAATATCAGTTGTATCAGCGAAGTTGCACAATGACTTTGAGGGTACAAGGGGTGGGCTCGCAGGGAAGCCTGTAGGGGAAGGAATCTGAGCACAGGTGGACAGGTGAGCCCCTGCATACCTTGTTCTCTGAGAAAGAGGGACTCAGGATAGGTACAAGCAAAAGTCAGTTTCAAGATTCAGGAGAGGAAGATTGAAAGAACTGAGGTATGGTGGCCTGTTCCCTTCTAGAATGTTAGAGACTAGCTGTGATGGTGGCTGTTGAGAGCGGGGCTGGGACGGCATGGTGAAAGCTTGGACATTTACTGTGAAGAATGGTGAGGGGGCCTGGAAAGTCAAACATATGATTATTTGGAGTGATGGGGCTTTGGCTACAGCTAGCACTGATAAATACACAGGGTCCACTTGTGGGGTCAGCAGTTTCATCCACTGCTGGTTGGAAACCCAGAGACAGAAGGGAAAGGAAAGGAAAGACCAGGAGAGAGAGTAGTAAAAGGAAATTGATGATGATGCTGCTACTGAAATGATGGTTTTGAAAGATCCCTTTGGAAGCAAAGGGATCATGGATGAGTTCAAGGATGCAAAGGTGGAAAGAAAGAAAGTTGAAATATGCCACAAGCAATGACCATTAACTAGGTAACTTAAAATGACAGATGGAGATTCTTTCACAGTTCTGGTCTTCACTGCCCCGCTTCCCTCCCAGGATACTCTGCAGAAGAGCTGCTACATGCCTGGCTCTGGGGGCTGCTGAGTTAGAAGAATATCATGAAGAATCTTCTTAGTAGCCTGTCAAGTCCACAATTTCTTCATGCTAGGCATCTTTGTGTTCTTGGCTCTACTCTTCATTTGTTCAGTCACCTTCCTCACCACCTGCCTCTTCTCTTCTAAGGACACTCGCCATTGGATTAAAGTCTCCCTTCACACAAGATGATCTCACCTACAGGTCCTTAACTCAATCTCATCTCCATAGATCCTTTGTCCCACTCAGGTTCTAGGTGGACATGTCTTTTGAAGGGTCATTATTCAGCCTACTACATAGTCCCAGAGTGAAGTTTCAGAGTTAACCATTTTCAGAATCAGGATAATTTCAATGAGAAGACCCAAGCTATGGCATGAGTCAGAATTGCTAAAGGAAAGGACAGAGAAAATGGAGCCATCTGGAGTAGAAAAGGTGAGAGAACTTTGAGGCCAGATAGAGTGGTGATCAGATCAGGGAAGCAGGGTATGCCAGAAGTATACCTGTATGCCAGAAGTGAGTGAGCATCAGTAAATCAGCTTGGAGATAGGGAAAGCAGGATTGCAGAAAAGTGTTCTCAACTCTGCCTTCACCTGACAAGCATTTGATTCAATGTGAGCTTCAAATGAGCTTTTAAAAAGTACCTACCTCCAAATAGTTTGAATCAATTGGTCTAGGACAGAGCCCAGCCATCTTGAGAGAGAGGGAGGGAGGGAAGAAGGAAGGAAGGAAGGAAGGAAGGAAGGAAGGAAGGAAGGAAGGAAGGAAGGAAGGAAGGAACTCCTTAAATACTAGTTAAAGAAGTATAGATTGGGGACCAGGATTTTTCCCCTGTCAAAGTCTGAAAGAGAGCCACCAGCAGGGAGATTTCAGAGTCTCCTGCCTTCATGCCCAAAAGTCTACAGCAGTGCCAGGAAATTAAAGACCAGAGGAGGGAGGGATCACATTACCTGGCTCTGACTAAGGTCCCAGCCTACCTGGAGTTCTGGGCTTCTTCCAGCCCTCACAAAAGACATATTTCAGATGTTTGTTGACAGGAAAAAAATGTTAGAACTCATTTCTAAAACAGTTGCTATTCCTGCAAAGCAAGTCTTTTTTCCTAAAAAAAAAAAAAGATTTTCTTAATACATTTGGAGAAATATATTATGCCAGAACAATATTCAAGGTCTTAGTTTGTATTTTTTGAATATGTAATAAATACATTAAAATATCAAGTAGCATAAAAAATGATACCATCAAAAGTAATTCTCAGTCAGGCACCTGAAATCCCAGCTCCCCTGAAGGGAGAAGTAGAAGGATCAAGTTTTGAGGACAGACCCAGGCAAAATTATCAAGACCCTACCTCAAAAACAAAATAAAAGCAAAATGACTGAGGGAGATGCTCAGTTAGTAGAGTTCTTGCCTAGCATGTGTAAGGCCCTGGGTTCAATCCTCAGTACCACTCAAAAAGGACAAAAACGTAATTCTTATCCCTGATCACACCTTATTCCACCTAGCTCCCTTTTCAGAAGCAACTCGTTACCAGATTCCTATGTATTCCTCCCATTATAAAATGCTGTATCTTGCCTTTCTTCCTTAAAAACTAGAAGATCATTTCCTGGTATCCATGGAAGAATGGACCCCTCCACCTCCCCACCCCAGATGGGCTCCTAAAAAATGGAGTAATGTTTGCTTATAATCAACACATGTTGTGTGCTTTATTCCATCTCTAGATTACTTGTAATATATAAACACAATGTAAAGGCTAGTTTATACTCTGTTGTTTAGGGAACAACAACAAGAAAAAATGTCTGTATATATTCAGTACAGACACATTTTCCTCAATTATTTTCAGTCTGCTGTTGGTGGAATCTCTGAACACAGAGCCTACAGCTGCAGAGGGTCCTTGCACATAGGGAATATCACATTAGCGCACAGGGAACCTCACTCTGTAACTCAGCTGTCCCACAATTTGATTTATGCATACTGATGGGTGTTTCTGTTGTTTTCAGTCTCAAATGTATTAGAGAATTTTTAAAAATTAATGAACAAAAGCTAAAGAGGGTTCCTCACCAGGTGGGTACCTCAAAAGTGACCAGGTTGAGGAGGGGACACCCAGCTCACTGGGTGGAAGGAGGTGACATGGCCTGCCCCCAGGGGAGCCTGTGTGATGGTGTGTTGCTTCTCCCCCAGGAGCCTGATGCCCAGGACCCTGGAGACCCAGATCACGCTGGAGAAGACACCCAGCTATTTTGTCACTCAAGAAGCCCCCCGCCGGATCTTCAACATGTCCCGAGACACCAAGTTGATCGTGGTTGTACGGAACCCAGTGACCCGGGCCATTTCAGATTATACCCAGACACTCTCCAAGAAGCCCGACATCCCCACCTTTGAGGGCCTGTCCTTCCGCAACCGCACCCTGGGCCTGGTGGACGTGTCGTGGAACGCCATCCGCATAGGCATGTACGCGCTGCACCTGGAGACCTGGCTGCAGTACTTCCCGCTGGCCCAGATCCACTTCGTCAGCGGCGAGCGACTCATCACCGACCCCGCCGGGGAGATGGGCCGGGTCCAGGACTTCCTGGGCATCAAAAGATTCATCACAGACAAGCACTTCTACTTCAACAAGACCAAAGGATTCCCTTGCTTGAAAAAACCAGAGTCGAGCGTCCTGCCTCGATGCCTGGGCAAATCCAAAGGGAGAACTCACGTACAAATCGATCCTGAAGTGATAGACCAGCTCCGGGAATTTTATAGACCTTATAATATTAAGTTTTATGAAACTGTTGGGCAGGACTTCAGGTGGGAGTAAGCCACCCAGATGAGGTTTGCTGTCAGAGCCTCTGACCTTCACCTTCCAAGAAACTGAGGCTCTAACACCAGTTCCCATCTAGGTTCCCTGATGGATTAACTTGGAACCAGGAAGGTCAAGAGGCAGGGGGAGCTCCTATCACTGCCTCTTTGGCACAGCCATTCAGCTCCAGAATCATCCCTTTCTTTGGAGAACTGCTCTAAGATGAGTGGATCTCCCAATGACGACAGGTATTCTAGGTGCTGACGGCTGTCTCGCTCCGAGCACAGCAGTCTGTCCCTGTCACTGTACACCCAGGAGTGGGCTTTTTAGTTGCAAGTGGCATGTCCCTTCCCTCTGAGTTTCATTTCCCCAGAAGCCCTGGGTGGTGGGGTGGGAGATGGTCCTCAATCCTCCTCAGACCTCGGCAGCTCGGTGAGAGATCGCAAAGCTGGAATTACCCCCTGGCCATCTAAGGAGACAGACAGACCCCTGGACGATGGACCCAGCCAGTGATTTCAGAGCCTGTGGTCTCAATTGCACTTGGAGGAGACTGTCTTTGAAAACCACTCTGTGACTGTCCCTGCTCCCTGTGGACAAAAGCACACAATTACAATTCTGCTGTTACGGGTACTTTCTTCACACGGGCTCTCATTTCAGCATGCATGGAATCATGCTTGTCCACAAGAAATAAATACGGCTCTCTCGTGTCCTTAACGCTGAGTGCTTCTCTGTGAGTCAGGCCCACAGCCGATTCATTCAGCTTCCTTCTGGTGCAAAATGAAGTGGGTGCTAGGGAGGGCTCTGGAGGGCAGGAAGGGGCAAGGTCAGGGGCGAGATGGGGGGGCGGGTCTTGCTGGCAGAGGCTGACACAAAAAGGTCTCTTGGAGCTCTGTAAGGATGCCCTCTTTCTGAAACAGGAGTCAGGCTGGGAAAGATATCTGCCTAGACCCTTCCGACTGGAAGGCCCAAGGGCTGAGGGGACATCAGATATGTTTTTGCTTGGTCAGCATGATGGTTTATAACTGCCAATTGTTAAAAATGGGAAGCATTTACATAAAACTATGGATTCTCAGGTTTAAAAAAAAAAAGATGAAAACTCAGCTCCATTGAGCCTGCTCTCTGGTTTGACAGCTGGCTGCCATCTTTGGATGAGGCCTACATTCCCCCAGATCTCCCACTCCCACCCAGCCCCTCCCCAGATACACCATCCATCTGGCCCTATAGGCATTTGAGTCCCTCACCTTGAATGTGTCTCAGAACCTCAGTGTGACATCCAAATCCAGCTTGACATCCAAATGACCCCAGCTTAGTCTCTGGCTCACCTCCTGCTTCCTCCTCCTCCTCAATCTAACCTCACAGACCTCCATACCTTTTCTTGCTCTTTTCAGGCCGCCACACGTTGGCCCATGGAGTACTTTACCTTTCCTCTTCCACATCATCAGTAATGGAAGCCCATGTTCCCAGTAAAATTGTTACAGGACTGAGTGGTCTAAGAAGACACTAGTTCAGAAAATCCCAAGTCTTTGTGTCACCTGAACAGAGAACTGGACAGAAGCAAATTGCCAAAACAGTAATTATTGAAAGAAAAGGAAAGAAAGAGGAAGAGGAAGCACTGCAAGAGAAAAAGCAGTGTGTTCTACCAGGTGACACAGAAGCACTGATCTTTTTGTTTAAAGACCAATTTATAAGTTGTAAGGCAGGAAAAATCTGGGCAGTCTGCAGGAAAGGGCTAGGATGGCTGGCAGGTTTAATTAGCACAGCCTTACCACATAATATGGGTATCCTGTGCTTTGATTATTCTAATTTTTAGTTCTTTAATTGTATGTATGAGATGTGGTCAATATTCATAAGGTCTTAAGTAAAGGATTTTGCCTGAGAAGTCAGGTTTGGGGCAGACCTCTCTTTTTACCAGGTAAACCAGGCTCAGAGGCATCCCTTTGGATACTGTCTTGCAAAGATATTTACAAGATATTACAAAAGGTGTTTATGACTTAGAGGGGATTTTTTGCTCTAGAGACAGCTCAAGGTAGTGCTGGGGAAGTAGTGGGAAAAAAGTCTAGCATAAAGATATCTGTTAAGAGAAGGGGATCCTGTGACAGGTTATTTCACTTTGCTAGCCTGCCTCAAAACATCACTCAACTGTCACTTACTTGGTATTTGTGAGGCTACCACAGCCACAGTGACACTCTTCTGTCTTCACTTGGTAGTTGGTGCATCACTCAGTTACAGCTTTTATCTTACTGGGCTGTAGTTGGATATGGAAATGTGTCTTCTCTGTAGAGCATGAACTCTTCAAGGATCAAGGCTCTATCACGCTGACCTACCACATGTTACGTGCTGGTGTGAAGTGTTGTGTGGGGGCTGGTGTGAGGGTCCTGGCCTGCACAGGCCGGAGAACTGGCTCCTGAGGCAGCTGATTGACTCATGAGACAAGACTGGTACACAAAGGAAAGGCTACAGCCAGAGCAGTGCAGCGGAGCCTGGAAGCTGGTGCCTCCCTGCTCAGGTGAGGGCTGGGGCTTTAACTGAACGCTTTAACTCTGGGTTAGGGTAAGGGTTAGGCGGGTTTTTCCATTGGCGGTGGATTCGCACACACGGGCTCTGGTAGATGAACTTGTCTGTTGGCCCCTTATTGGGGGTTGGGGAACAACCTTCAGATCACTCTGTTTATTAGCCCCATGGCAGATTTAAGAGATCCTGTATCTCCTCCTCTAATGCTTGTGTGAGTAGATGGATGTTGGAGGTCTCAGGAATAGACAAGGATGTCCCAAAGAGCTGCATTTCTGGACCATTCTTCCCAGATAGCTTCTTGCTTAAACTCCAGGGGCCTCTGTTTTTTGTCTGTCTTGTCCAGTCTGTAGAAATTCCCTGAATATCAAGATCTGACTGACAAGGGTAAGGACAGAAAAGCCTAAGACATCAGTTCTGTGTCTTGGCCCAGCTTTCTGACCCAAGCATGTTCCAGGGCATGAAATGACTGGGCGCGTGATACTGAGAAGTCAGTGCTGTGAGTTTGTCCCTCTGTATCTCCCCTGTGGGTACAAAAAGTAAATGGGGGGTGGTCCATTACCACCTGGAAGCTGGCCCTGGACCACTGGTGACCAAAAGAAGGACAGATGGTTTGTGGATGTTAATAAATCACCTTTATATACCCCCACCCAAAAGTATATGCTGTCCTGGGGTCCTGAGCTACATGGTGGTCAAACTCAAATCCAAACCCAATAAAGATTTGGGAAGTGGACTTGTTTATCCTGACTGGGAAGAGTTCACTGAGAATTGAGGAAAGTTCTGGATGTTGTGTGCATAAGACAGTAGTATTATTCCTCTACATTACAAACACCCTCAGACTGCCAAGCCTAAGTAGCCTCTCAGTCTTAATGAATAGGTATGAGTCTATTGTAATTAGCATATCAATCATTGTATGCAAGTGAGAGATACTAGCACACCTTAAAACTCCCAGTTAAATGAGTGAAATCGCAGTACATGAATCTGCCTAACAAACTCTGATTTTTAACCCAGGGCAAATGTGGCCCGTCACCTAGGCCACCCCGGGGGCAAATTTGCCCAGGTTCCAAATTAGTATGGTTTAAAACCTGTGCCTTAAAAGATTGAAGTGTTTCTCTGTCACCAGTGGCTCAGACCAATACCAGAAACTTACAATCCTGGCATCCTAACTGCTCAGAGCTCAGCCAGGGCCACCCTGTGTCTGCACCACTGGGCAGGAAGGGAACAAGCAGAGGCTGCCGATAGAGAGCTTCCTATGTGTTTGGCAGAGCCTCGAAGGCTGTAAAGGAGGGAAGTTGTGTAATGGAAGGAAGGGAAGAAAGGCTTCAGGTGCGCCAGGAGGCCTCTGGTGCAGGGATGGAGGCAGGCTCCAACCAAGTGGGGCGTCATACATGCTTTGACTTTCTCTAGGTGGTGCTGAGTAGGAAGTGGGGGCAAATAGAGGGAAGGGAGCAAACATTGACTAGGTCCTGACTATCGTGGGCCCGTTACTGCAGAAGCTGTAGGTCACAGCTCTATTGTCACATTGCTGGCTATTGTCCATTCACAGGTTCCATCTCTCCAGAGCAGAACAGGGCAGAGAAAGAGCCCACCTCTCCCATTTGGGGTTGTGGCATCATTTCTAGCCACAGCTTCCTTGTCTTGTGAATGGTGCTCCCTAGGGTAGCATGAGGGTGGCGGTACCACTTTCACTCACATCCCTTTGGGTAGAACTCAGTCCCTAGGTTACACTGAGGTGTGGAGGAAGCTGGGAACCTTGTTAATTTGAGTGGAGGACGCTCAGTTGAAAAGTAGGATATCCCCTTCTGGAAGAAGAGTAAGATAGCTAGTTAAAGACACTTTGCTGTCCTGGTTACAAAGCCTCATCCATGTAGCATAGCTCCCCCAGGGTGTCTGGCTCTACGAGGGTCTCCATGCACACAGAATATGTTGGGCCGGCCCTGGATCGCTCCTTACTTCCCTTCCCCTACCTCTATCTAAAGACAGCATGGTACACAGCAAGCACAACCTTGGGAGCCCAATAGGTTCAAGTTCAAGTCCTGCCTCTGCCATTTCTGAGCCATATGACCTTGGGCAAATTATTTAACTTCTCTAAGCCAATTTCATCACCAGTAAGTAGGGACATAGATTGTACTCAAGATGAGGGATTGAGTGAGAAGATTCTTGCCTGGTACATAGCAGGTTCTCAGTTTATGGTCCCTTTGTTCCTGCTTATTTGGTTCCTGGTAGTAGAATCTGCCAAGGCTCCCATACTCCTATCTGCTGAGACCCTGCAGCTGTAGGAGCCTGCAGGAGTCAGGCTCCTAACACTCGTCCCCATCCTGTCTTTTCCACTGGGCCTGGAATTGAGCCACTCTTACAGTCCAGGATCAAATGGTAAAGTCTTGCGTGGTTCAGTGTGAACTCCTGTCTCCGGCCAAGTAAACCCAATATGCACTGCCCCAAGGGAATGGGTAGCATTCATCTTGCTTATCAGACATCACAGCTGAAATGACTTATATCTCCCAGAACCAGAAGGACAGGA